GAACGTGTTCGCTTACCCAGCTTGGAGGATTGTACATAGAAAATCCGCCCCGTGGGTTGACACGGAGGAATTCCTCCTCTTCTCCCTTGTACAAAGCGGACAAGATCTTCGTTAGAGTGACAGCCGAATCCGGCCCCTTACGGCCGCACCGGGTGGCGTCGTCCTCCCCGTTGAAATCCCACATGGGGTGGCCTCGGTATTGAAGCGGCTGCACCCCCCGCGTAATGCATATGGCCATGACCTCGATCATGGTCAGTCCGGAATGACTAACAACCTTATCCGGTTCATCAGGTAAAGGACGTCCCTGTCATTTTCCTTCTGAGGGCTCCATGGGCGCCATCTCAGGCGTTTCTTCAAGGGAGCATTATCAAACTCAGGGAGGCCGATCCGTACAGGGTCCGGCAGAGGGACGTCTTCTATATAAAACCATTCTGAAGGCCAGTCTTCGGACGCCTTCTTTGGGGTTCCGGATAGATATCCGGTCCCGGCGACGCGCCATATTTTGGCTCCGCCTACTTGATATATCGACCCCTCCTGAGAACGGGGCACGAGGCAGAACAACTTCTTCCACAGCGTGAAATGGGCCTCGATACCCAAAAATAGCTCGCAAAGGGCTACGAAGCCCGCAATATGCAATATGGAGGCAGGCGTAAGGTTGTGTAACTGGAGGCCATAGAACTCCAGGAGCCCCCGGAGAAACGGATGTACTGGAAATCCGAGCCCTCTTATTAAATAAGGGACAAGGCATACCCGCTCTCCTTTGGAGGGATTGGGGACGCTCTCCGCTTGCTCTCCGCCATTATAAGTGGCAATCCCGGCTTGAACTGGGACCATGTAAGCTGGGGGGAGAAGCCCCTTGGCATGGGGCGCTACTAGCTCGCTGTGCGGAACAGAACACCTCTCCCAATCTCCAGACTAAGGGCTGGGGGGCGAGAGGAGAAGCTGCGTCGACCGGCCATGATGGAATGGATCTTTGTCGAATGCGCTCCGATGAATGCTCGTGGAGGGAAGATGGTGTGATTCGGATCTAAGTCCCCGCCTCTTTTATAGGCGGCCCATTTTCGCAGCCAGGGGGTAAATGAAAAAAACACCCTGTCTTTTCGCATTCTTTTGACACGTGGAAGATGGCCATTATTGGGCGCAGAAGCCAAGGAGCGCAACATTCATTGGAAGCCGGACACTATTCGATAGGTATATGAGATTTGGAGAAGAACCCGCCTTGCAATGCCGAAGACAAATCTGCGCGCCGGACTCATCATCATTGAAGCCTGGTTCGGGGGCTACTGAGGGAGTCCTGGATTAGGGGGTGTCCGGATGGCCGGACTCCCGGACTATGAAGATACAAGATTGAAGACTTCGTCCCGTGTCCGGATAGGACTTTCCTTGGCGTGGAAGGCAAGCTTGGCGATACGATATGTAGATCTCCTCCCATTGTAACCGACTCCGTGTAACCCTAACCCTCTCCGGTGTCTATATAAACCGGAGAGGTTTAGTCCGTAGGACGAACAACAATCATACCATAGGCTAGCTTCTAGGGTTTAGCCTCTCTGATCTCGTGGTAGATCAACTCTTGTACTACCCATATCATCAATATTAATCAAGCAGGAGTAGTGTTTTACCTCCATCGAGAGGGCCCGAACCTGGGTAAAAATATCGTGTCCCTTGTCTCCTGTTACCATCCGCCTAGACGCACAGTTCGGGACCCCTACCCGAGATCCGCCGGTTTTGACACCGACAGTAGTCCAAATCATGTCGACTCTTTTTTCGGGGAAAAGCAATTAATCGATTAAGTAATAATAGTTTTACAATCATCTAGAATAGTGTTGTAATCTCCGGTGGTACATTAGCCAGCCTGTTGCTGTCACTGCATGTGCAACCTTGTTCTGTGTTCGACTGATCTTCCGAACATGAGCTTGTCGTTCTTTGAGCAGGCCAACGATTTCTCGACTCTCATAGTCTTTTTGTTAACATGAGAACTGACGAATTCATCGATACAATAACTCTATCCACAAAAGGCACAAGTAGAAAGGAACGAGAAAGCAGCCGACAAGGACCAAAAAACAGGTAAAAGGGTAATGTACAGAGGACTCTCCTAGAACAACACTTATTCCCTCCATTATAAAATAGATGAGCCAACTTTATACTAAAGTTAGTATAAAGTTGAGTCATTTATTTTGAAACGGAGGGAGTACATAGTTATAAATGGCAATATCATATGTTAACAATCCCCACTTAAAGTGTCATCGAACGAAATACATGACTTTTGTGATGCAATAAATAAATTAAAGTATTATCGATTTTTTCTAAAACAAAACATACTTAGACGTTCATACACTTATTCCTATAAACGCATGCACGCACACCCTAATCTTATGAGCATATTCGAGAGAATGAGGCGACACATCATCTTGAGATTGATGAAGTTACAATGACACCTTCGTTGTCGAATCTAAGACTTGTACTATAGTGGACTGGGATATCACTGTATTTCTAACCCTCCAACACTTTTCGCATTAAAATATCGTAGAACTCACTAAAGATGAAATCGTAATCTCATGTTGTTCTACATTTGTAGATTAAAAATAGTACTCCACTGAAAGAATTACGGAGTGCTGTATGTGCGAGATTCGTGCCTCGGTCCCCGTGCAATTTTGCGTGTGTCACTAGCTAAGAGATATTGCTGTCCGGCCAAACAAGACAAGGAGTACTGCCTGATCGGAAAAGCAGATGAAAGGCTTTCCCCGCAGGCCGGCAGAGTTGGCGCAGTAACTCCGGCGCGGTAACTCTGCGTACCTACCACACCTGCCTCACATCTCATCCGTCCACACGTCGTACGATCAGATCCCCGCCGTCCGGCCCTTTCGCCCAACGGCCTTCTGTGCACGCCGGCGCCCCGTGCACCAGTCGCGTTAAAAAATATTCGATCGTGCATCGGACGCCTCGGATCCCCTGTAGTCCAAAAAGGCTAGGCTTATCTACGGCCAGTATCACGCTGAACCTCCCCCTGACAGGTGGGTCCCGCATAGAGCGCCTTTCCAACTCTTTTACTTTACATCCCTAAAAAAATACTCTTTTACCTTAGAATTGTCCAACCCTTTCACGACAAATGGGCCCAGGTAAGGTGGGGCAGGAGGTTCAGTGTGCGTGACGGAGAACGGCTAGAGAACGGCTGCAAGGTGGTGGCAGGGAGCGGAGCATAAAATGGACGTGACCAGCGCCACGCCTCGCCTCGCCTCCCCATTTCTCTCTCCCACTCCCCCATTACGTCTCTTGCTCAGACCCTGTGCTGTGCCTGTGTGAGAGAGATTCTCGTCTTCCACTTTCACCCCCCAAATATCGTGCGTGGCTTTATTTTTGCTCATGTTTGTTTTGTGCGGGAGGAAGGGGTTATGCCGGCGGCCGCGGGGATCAAAACCCTAGAGGAGGCGGCCTTCTGATGCGAAGCTAGGGGGCGCAGCCCGGCTGCTTTGAGCCAGTGAGGTAAGCGATCGGTTGGTTGGAAACACCGGGTGGCCGATTCCATCGGCGGGCGTCGCTTCCGGCTAGAAATCTGTGGGGGAATGCCTGCGTTTTGCGGTGATTTTGGTGCATTTTCTGTTGTTATTTTCTGTTACTAATATTTTGTGCTTGCTTTTTTGGGATGTCTTCCCCGGGCGTGGCATTTTGATTTGGTTGGTTGGTCGCATTGCCTATGATTGGGTAGTTCCGTACGCGCATGTGTCTTCGTAATTAAGGGCCGGATTTATTCCTATCGTTTGCTAGCCGTGCTGGTGGGGAGCTTAATCGCCGCGCCCTTCTCGTTTTCCGGCGATTTTATTCCGCTTAAAGGCGCAGGGTTTGCTTGGATTTAGGGGGGTTTTGCGAGGGCGCAGAGTCGCCAGGAAGCTTCCGCGACGCTGCCGCTCGCCGCGACCTACTTGGCCGCTCGCATTCGCCGTGCCGCTCGCCGCTCGCCGTCGACTCCGAGTTCGCTGCCGCCTCCACATCCAGGCACTCAACGACTGGGCGACGAGAAGCAGGCGGCGGCTTCCGGGTGGTGCGTTTGCCCCACGGATATCTCCTACATCTCTCGTCCTCTCAAACGGCATCGATTGCTGTATTTTCGGGGCTTATGGGTTCGTGGTTATTATTTTTGAAATCTCTCTGGTAAGGCTCGGGGTCAAGGAGTTCGAAGGTACTGCGCTGTAACCCCCTCTGCTACTAGTGCTCCGTAACAAACTGAGACTGCTTTTAAATTTAGCGAGGAAACTGGGGAAATTTGCAGATCTTAACCGTCAAGGTGTCTATCCACTTTCCGTGCATAAATACAGGCATTCCTGCATGTGCATGCGTGTGCGCGCCTGCCTCCCTATATTTCATCCTGCGTCTGTTTTGTTGCCAATAGTGCCTAAACCAAGATAAAGTAGTTATGCCTTTTCTTTATGGGGTTTCAGTCTTCGATAAGTTACATGGTCTCCTTAGTTTTCCCAACTTAATGTTATACTGACTCGGTCGAAATTAGGACATCGAAGCCGAAAAGGGAAGTCCAGAAAAATATTACTACCTCCGTCCCGGTGTATAAGTCATTCGCGTAGTTCTAGGTCGATAATTTAACTATCTAAATATGTATTATATGTGACAAAAAATATATATTTAGAAACTACATCCGTGTGGAAATCTAGTGGTATACTTTTCATGACATATAACACATATTTAATTCCTCAAATCGATGACCTAGAACTACGCGAATGACTTATACACCCGGACGGAGGGAGTAGCTAGCGTTTCTCTTGGTCCCATAGAACTTCGTGCAACTTCAGTAGGAAGGTGATCTGGGGTAGGTATTGGCATGAGTGTCAACGTTAAGTTTGGTAGATTAATATTGCTGTATCTCAAACAATTTGTGTGAGTTGTGAAACATATACAGCTTTACAGTATGATAAACAAATATTTGTGTGGTGCTTAAACAGGTTTTATAGAGGCGTAAAAGTGAAACAAGGACCTTCCAGTTGATACCAGATATGGCTGAGATTGCTGATGAAGATAGTTCCACCGGCATTGATTTGATTTGTGCTTTGTGTGATAATGGTGGTGAAATCGCAAGGTACATGTTTATTTGTTTTCTCTTTTTTGTGCTCTGAATGAAATGTAATGAAATAATCAGTTATAGTTCTTTATTACAGAATTCTCAACCATTTATTTGTTTTGGATTGCTACTAAAACTATTGAATTTGAAACAAAGTAAAACCATTGTTAATCATCAACATGCACTTTCTATAGGCAGAAATGGCTTTATTAGAGAACATAGTCGCTAAGCTTCATAGTTCTAATCATGCAATAATCTATACATCGATGATGTTTAACAAGGAGATATCTTGACCTACAACTTATTGAGAATGCAGCTTGGCTTATAAATTGCCTGCTGTTTTGTATGGAAGCTCTAGGAAAATGGTGGAGTTCTAACCATGCCTGGTTATATGTGTATCACAGTTGGATGTTTTATTCCACTTTGTGCTCACCTGGAGCACTTGATCTTCTTACTACCTTTTGCAAGCTTTGCTCTACATGTCGTTTACTAGCTAGGTTAACTGCTTAAGCGTTATTCTCTGGAGGTTTTCTGTTGAAATCAGTTCTTACCCTTTGTTACATAAAAATAAAATACATGTAGGATGAGTATTTGGTCCTATTAAATCTGTAAGTATCTTTTTTTTAGAACACACGTTTTGGTTCCATTCAATTGTTCTGTTGTATCCCTTACATAATAGAACATGCATTAGCATTTTAGGTTGAACCTTAGTTTCTCATTATGATTAGTGATGTGTGCTTCTTCTAAACTATCTGCAGCTGTGAAGGCAAGTGCCTGCGGTCATTTCATGCAACAAAAGATGCTAGTGAAGACTGCAAAACATTGGGCTATACTAGGAATCAGTTTGATGTATCTATTCTGACCCTCAGTTGGGAGTGAATCATTTTTTTACTGTTCTTTACCTATTCGAGGCATCTTTTGATGAGCTTGTACATATTTACAGGCGATGAAAGTTTTTCTGTGCAAGAATTGTGAACATGAAAGATATCAATGTTTTGCCTGTCACAGGTTGAGTTCAGCGAAAACAGATCCTCCTGAGGTTAAAGCCCTTTTACCTAATATAGTTTTGAGAAATTTCAAGCAGACTAGTTGGCCGCTTACTTGAATTATTATATCTTATAGGTATTTCCTTGTGCTTCAGCAAGTTGTGGGCACTTTTATCATGCTAAATGTGTTGCACAATTGCTCTTCCCTGAAAATGAAGCAAAAGCAACTGAGTACACGACAAGGATAATCAACGGGGCGAAATTTGCATGCCCAGTCCACAAATGTGATGTTTGTAAATATGGCGAAAACAAGGAGGTTAAGGAGCTGCAATTTGCTGTTTGCCGACGGTGCCCAAAGTCATATCATCGAAGATGTCTGCCAAGGCAATGAGAACTTGTTCCCGTATTTGTGACTGTAGTTTGCATTCCTTGTTAGTTGGTATTTACTACGCTGCCTTGGATCAAACTAACACGTATGTACCTGTCAATAGGAAAATCGTCTTTGATGACGTAATTGAGAATGGTGTGTGCCTTTTCCAAAGGGCATGGGACGGTCTTCTGCCAAAGAATCGCATCTTAATATATTGCCTGTAAGATTTGTTTCCTTTAGACAATTATTTGTTTTCCTTGCTATGTTGGTGCATCTTTCTGACTATATTCTTTTTTTGGCCAGCAAGCACAATATTGATCCAAAACTTCGAACTCCTCTAAGAGATCATATTAAGTTTCCTGATGATCCTATCACTAAAAAATCATCCAATGTGAATGGATTGAGAAGGGTTAAGATACGACGCCTTGATGACTGCCTCCCTGTCCCATCATCCAGTAGCAAAAGACCCCTCGGTACATCAACTTGTTCTTCCTCCATCAATTCGACAGCGAAAAGGAAGAAAGAACATCTGCCTGGAGGTACTAAACATCCCAGTATGCAAAAATCAGTCATGTCAGTGATCCCCATTAGCACATTCCCTGAGATTGACATAAACACGGCGACGAGGTAAATATATCACTCTTTACTTCTGTGCTCTTTTTTCATCTGTCTATGATCTTCAGATGCACTTGATTACAAATTTAAGTTTACTGGTTAAGTATTTATAAGAGTGTATATAGTTGCCATGCAAAATATTTTCTTAAAATTATTATTTGCATTTTTAGTAACGAATGTACTAGTAAATGTTTATTGGAGTGTGTGAAAAGTCAAAGGAGGGGGTGCCAAAATTCTTGTACATTAGATTTAAGATGATTTGGGTGTTTAAGTTTAGTTGTAAAGTTAGCGGACGACAATAAGAAAAGCTTAAGGGTCACTGGACGCCACCATGTAAATTTACATAAGCAGTTGCAAAACAATTGTTATTTTTGATGAGTTTATCATCTGATGATGACGAGCGAAAGGTTCTTGAAACGCTTAGATTTTTGCAGAACGCCGATCTGATAAGCCAAAAAGTTTCTGTATCTTGTGTCAACAAATATAGAACTGCACAGTATGTGCTGATGTGTGCCAATCAAGATAACAAAAAACCTTTAAAATGCAGGGTCATCATGTTTACTTTGTTCCCAATTGTTTATGTGCCGCCATCATATTGAATATTCTGATTTCTGAGGAATGCTGGCACAGCTACCTTTGCATTACGTTGTGTCCAAGTATTTGTTCAATTTGTGCATTTCAATACTGTTGTATTCCTTGTTGCCATAATCCGCAACGCAAACACCGAGACTAACCTAGTGGTAGTCTCTCAGGATTTATGACTTTGCACAGAAAGCATCATCAAATATAACTATTGAGGATGTACAGAAACAGCTAGTGGTTTCGTCTACTTACACATCATTTATGAAGAATACTGATAAAGTTACATTGGGAAAGGTGGAAAGATCTGTCGAGGTACTCTACTGCACTTTCTTAGAAGCAGTGACATGTATTTGGTTGATGCTGATGTGTATTCTTGGCAGGCTGTTAAGACTGCGGTTCATATGTTAGAAAGTGGTGCGGATATAGAAGAGGCCAAAGATGTATGCTCACCATATGACCTTTTCCAACTTGCAAAATGGAAGGTACATGCAAAATCATTCTTTCGTTTCATCCTTGTGTAGGATTGTAGAATTTGGCTGTTTGTGATAACTGATAATTGGACATTGAGATACTGAAAGTTATCGTAATGATCTATGAGATACATGCTTGTAGTTTTTCCTCTGACATAGTATGCCTACGATCGCAATATACATGATATTATGAGCTATTATGTGCAGAACAAACTGAATATATATCTTGCCCCGTTTCTTCATGGCACGCGCTATACATCTTATGGGCGGCATTTTACAAAACTGGACAAGCTCGAGAAGGTAGGTCTACACATTATTTAAAATATGTCTTGTTTGTTCCTGCTATATAGAGTTTTCTTCTGTTCACTATTTTCTGGTAGCGAGTTGTCATGTTGCGACTGCTGAGTAGTGTTCTGACATGAAAATATCCCGCTTGTTGTGTTGAAATTGGTCATATGATATGTTTGTCCACGTATGCCTGATCCCAAATTGGCATCCATTTTTGTACAAATATAGTTGGTTAATGCTGACATTAATTACCCAGAGTAGAGTTGGCACTTAGAGTCATGGTTGAGAATCTAGTTATGTGCAGATTCAACAAGGTTGTTCCTCAGTAAGTGTTGTGGCATCTTAGGGCCAGTTGTCTATTAAGCTAAGTCTAGAAGTATCCAGGGTGAGGGTGTGTGTGTGTCCTGGTAGAAGAGTCTGTTTGTGGGAAGAGTCTTGTCATCTCCTAGATGAACCCAGCCTAGTCTAGAAGTATCCAGGGGGTGTGTACTAGTAGTCTGTGGGTAGAATCCAGTTGTCTCTTAGATGAATTATCCAGGGTGTGCTGAATTACTGTTCAGTGAACATTCAACCTGAAGGGTCCTTATAAGGGTGTATTCCCCTTGTAAGGAGGCAAGCAAGGAAATATCTAGGTCCTACCTATGCTTCTCTTCTACCCCTCTAATTCTCCTATCTTTCCCCACTACCTTTTACTGTACCACGGCGCCTACACGGCAACGACCCTCGCGTCCAGCAAGTATCCCACCCCACAACCTTGGTAGCCAACGTTGGCTACAACAGTAAGATTTACTTATGATCCCAAAGATCAAAGAACTTGCACATCTTAATATACAGACGACAAATGAATGAGTTAACATGATTTGGTAGTATTCAACCATGTTTTTTTACTGCAAATTACAGTAAGAATATTAAAGAAGATACAAAGTGCATTGAAACTGTGAATTTGCACTTGGTAGCAGCATTTGTTGGGACTTTGTAAGATCGGTCCTTTAGGGGCTGGTTATCTTTATTTGGTAGTCTTTTTATCTCTTATATATTGAGGTAGGTAAGAAGCCTCCCTCTGATTAAAGAGGGGTTTTGCTTTAGGGTTAAACAACAGTGAACTTAATCTGCTCCCTGGAATCTTCTCCTCACCCCTTGTATCATCTAACCGTTTATCTTGTGCTGCTAAGAATCTAGACAAATCTGCTCCCTCGAATCTTCTCCTCTCCCCTTGAATGATCTTAGTATTAAACACTAAGTCTTGCATTGTGCACAAAGGACAAAAAACTTGGGTAGGATATTTCTTATTCAGGAATTTGGCGTAACTAATATTAATGTTTAAAAATCATCTATATCATTTTTTGTTTCTGTTGGCTATAAACAGAATTCAAGGTGAAATCAAGATATATTTATTATTCAAGAATTTGTGTGACTAATGTAATGTTAAAACGCGTTCGAGATGAACTTCTGTTTCTGTTGGTTATAAACAGAATTCTAGGTAAAACAAAGTTTAAAAGTTTGGGGATTAAATTAGCAATCTGCACCTCCTAATTTGATACCTATTGCAGAAAACAGCATGGCTACTATTCCCTTGCACTTAAGAATTGTCAGCAGGTACTTTACGAAGATACCTGTTTCTGAGACGCAATTTTATAATTGCATAGAAATACTACCCCCTGGTGGTTGTGTGGACCTGTTGCCAAATTAGGTAGTGGTAAACTACAATATACTCTTTAGGGCATGTTTTTAATAATAGTATTTCTTCATAAAGTTCTGGTATTTTGTTGAAATTTGACTTTTCCAATAAATACAATTTTTCCAAACAGCACATTATTTGTTTTGTACAGCGGCTACTCTTCAATCTCTGGTTTCATTTTCTTCTCTTTCATTGGGTTGAAAATTGTGCTTGTTATCTTGCTTAGAAGGTTATGGTTAGTTCAAGCTTTGTATATACTCTAGGTCGCTTCCTGTTCCTGACTGCATTCTTCATCTGTCTTGCTGAAGTAACTCTCGTGATTTTGTGCAGATTGTAGATAAGTTACAATGGTATGTTCAAAGTGGTGATACGGTAAATTTCTGTTTTGGTTTTTGTTACTTAAGTCTTGAGTTGTAAACATGCATAAGTGATGCACCTATTATAGCCCACTTCCATCTCATCTCATACATGCATAGAATCTGTTATTTTGATCATTCGGTCATGGATTTTCTTATACTACAGTGTTATCATTCATATATGCTGTCAGTAACAATCTTAGACAGCCAAGTCAGATGGTGATGCGCCGGTAAAAAAAATACCGAGGCAATTGTTTGAATAAAACATTGCATTATGTTTGTCTGCATAAAAAGTTTATCATTGATTTTGTTTTATTAAAGTTTCTACCAGCTGTAATAATGCAATATGATCACCTGCTTGGACTACTTGCCATTCTTGGATTAACTAGAATGTGCTCATAACGTGCATGTTTGGACTATTTTTATTCATGAATTCTAGCTTCTGTTCATTTTTCTGTCTCAACTCTGGAAGTTAGCTCACCACTTATTTTATGGACCCAGATTCAAAATTGACTGCAATATGTCTCAACAGAAGCTGTTTATCATGACCTGTGCATTTTTCTTATTCTTTTAGGTCGTTGACTTCTGCTGTGGTTCAAATGATTTTAGCACATTATTGAAGGAAAAGCTTGAAGCTTCTGAAAAGAATTGCTTCTATAAAAATTATGATCTCATCCAGCCAAAGGTGCTTGCATTTCTCCAATTGTTATACATGGTCCATTTTATCTTTAATAGTTTAGTTAATATTCCATGTACTATGAAATAGTTAATTGCAGATATAGGAGCCTGACCAGGCATCCAATGTCTCTTGCTACTCCCTTAGCAAATTTTTGATTTGTTGAAGTGTTGTAGCACAGTGGACTGATACAGCATTATAAATATTTCTCCAGAATGATTTCAATTTTGAGAGGAGAGACTGGATGACTGTTCAACCAGATGAATTGCCAGCCGGATCCCGATTGGTATAGCTAGTGTTACTTTGCTCATGTCCATTATGGCAAACTTCCAGATTTTATGTATTCAGTATTTGCTGTTATCGTCAGATCATGGGGCTGAATCCCCCTTTTGGGTTTAAAGCTTCACTTGCAAACCAGTTCATCAACAAAGCCCTAACTTTCAAGCCAAAGCTGATAATTCTTATTGTTCCCAAGGAAACAGAAAGGTACTGCTTTTCTCTTTATTCATCCCCATATAGCTTTCTGGTTCTCTTAATCTCCAACAATGTTCCACACTTGACGGTGTGTAGGTTGGATAAAAAATACCCACCTTATGAGCTAATATGGGAGGATTCTAATCAGCTCGCAGGAAAGGTATGTTTGGATAGTGTTCCCCTTGAGAACTCCTATACTTTAACGCTGATGATAGAATTTCGTTCCTGATGGTTTCTTTTGGAAAATTACGCAGTCGTTCTATTTGCCTGGATCGTTTGATGCTGATAATAAGCAGATGGATCAGTGGAATCTATCACCTCCTCCTCTTTCTCTGTGGAGCCGTAGTGATTTTGCTCAGAAACATAATGAGATTGCTAAATCAAAGGGGCACCTCTGCAGCAGAAGACCGAGCTATAATGATTCACAAAGGGACATCGCAGGCAATGCATATATGAGCACCAGCGATTTGGAAATGGGCAGTGAGGGTGAGGCGTGCATCCCTGACGAAGAAATGCAAGGAGAGCGACAAGCAGAAGCCTCCGTTATAGACCAGTTGTTGGCTGACACATACCATGATACCACTAGTTCTCCAGGTGACTACTGGACTGATACCAACGGCCGATCAGGGCAACCTCGCAACTATGATACTCCAGGTGGAAATGACCCTCCAACCCATGAGTATTTTGCAGTCAGGGCAGCTGAATCTGACATGAGCATTTCGTTGTCCGGCAGAAGTGCTTCTCGGAATCAAAACCAAACTGTGTCAACCTCTGATCATGAGCCTAACAACGATCATATTGCAAGCGTATCTGCCAAGCAACCAACCGATCCTGCTGATTGTGACGAGGTAACATCAGCTGATGCCCAGCATGGGCTGGGAGACCCACCGTCTGCACCAGAAAATGCAGCTGGAGTTCAATACCGAATCCTGGAAGACTCCCCACCTGAGGAAGGACAGCTGGGAGACCCACCGTCTGCACCAGAAAATGCAGCTGGAGTTCAATACCGAATCCTGGAAGACTCCCCACCTGAGGAAGGACAGCTGACACCTGAGGAAGCACAGCCGAATGATTTGTCGTCTACAGATGGAAATGCAGCTGGTGTGCCGATGCTGGAGGAGTCGCCACTTGAAACAGATGCTCCAGTGGGTGCAGCGAATCTGCCACTAGCGCATACCTTCCCGGGGCTGCAGTTTGCAAGCGCTCCCACGTGGCCTGGATGCTACGCTGCTCGTGAAGTTCTGTCGCGAGGCATGGGCTACCCGACCTTCCATCAGGAAGCCTCCTACAACTTGCTTGAGAAGTAACATTAACCAAGCAAGCAAAGTTGGTGCCATCTTTTGTTAGCAATGACTGGTTGACTGTCTTGCTTTAACCTGGCCAGGACGTCGAGAAAGAAAGGAAAACCAGCGCCTCTTGTCATATGTGTAAGTGGAAGAAGACACCAAGTAGCTGCTGATGTGCCTCGGCTTATCTTACAGGTGTGAGCTTGTTTATCTTCTACGGCCAGCTTTAAAGTGTTGGGTTGTGTGTGCACCTGCACTAATTTTGAACTGAAACTGTATCAAGAGTCATTGTGATGATGCTTGTTCAAATCATGTTTGTTTGGCATTGTGGCTGCTTTTTGCTAAGCCCAAAATTTTGCCCTGAGAGCATATCCTTTCGTTGAATTTAGCTGTCATTGCTTCTGGTCTGTTGCTTTCGTATTTGTTACCGTGATTTCTTGTTCCAAGTCTCAGTTTGCTAAGGTGGCCATCCCTCATATTCAGAATTTTTGCTTCTTATTGCACGATGCAGCAATCATCTGACGACTGCTTGCCTCTAATATATCATCAAGATTTGCCCGTAAGAGTAGCTTCCTGTCTCTGCTATATGTCTTGGAACGGTGAGCCAGCGGCGACAACGCCGCGTTGGATGCTACCATAGGTGTAGAGCAGGAGCGTCGGAAGTGCAGAAGCTGTCAATGGATGGGCAGTGCCACTCACTAGTGGCAACGGGTATGGGTGGAAGAGCCCGGCCGATGTCGTGGGATTCGGTCACGGAACGTCTGACCGGCGACTCCCGACCTGGAGACGCACACGTGCAGCGCCCTTGAAAGGGAGTATTATTATCCCAGGCAATTAGGAGTGTGTTAGAGCAACTCCAACGTGCCGATCCATTTTGTCCGTGCGTGTCCGTTTGGGTCGCTTCGTCCGTGCGCGTTGGTTTGTGTCGCCGCGGACAAAAAAGTTGGTCCAACATGCTGACCCAACCGGATGCACACTCACTTTTCGTCTGCTGGTGATTCATTCCTGGCCCAAATTTGGGCCTCATTTAACATGAAGCGGATGCGCGCGAAGCGCGCATAACTCCTCCCTGTCCCGCTAGTTGGTGGCACATTGGCCGTTCTCTTTCATCCCATTGACAACAAGCCCTCGCCCGTTCCCACCCTGTTGCTGCCCAGTTCCGGTGCCAGCAGTCCGCGCCCACACACCTCCCTAGCACACCGCCACCTCCGACATTGCCGCCACCATCGCCTCGCCGCCGGGCCACCGCAGCTCCTCCCATCCCACACCCCGTCGCCGCCACGAGCACAAGGTCACCCCCCGCGCCCCCGACCAGCTCCTTCGTCTGACGATGCCACGCTCGCCTAACGCTGCCTGACCAGCTACCTGGTCCAGGGAGGCGCGTGTCTCTTCGCCGACACCTGCAAACTGTTCAACAGTTTGCTACCAAGGTACAAATGGACTCTGCCGACGAGTTCTTTTTCCACAATTTCCTCTGCGACTCCGATGATTCCTCATCCGACGATGAGGAGATGGTGGCTATAGTGTTGGTCGTCCATGACCACCTTAGTAGGCAGCGGCCGTTGTTCCGGGGCTCGATCCCGGGGCACACTCCGGCTTTGAATCACAACCGAGAGAGCGGTCATTTCCTTCTTTGGAAGCACTACTTTGAGACGCCCAACCCGCTCTTCAAACATCACCAATTCCGACGCCGTTTCCGCATGGCTAGGCATGTTTTCAACCATATTCGGGATGGAGTGGTTGGATACGACAAGTATTTCGAGTGCAAGGATGATGCCCTTGGAAAGATTGGCTTCTCCTCTTATCAGAAATGCACTGTAGCTATCTAGATGCTTGCATACGGAGTGCCTGAAGATCTCATTGATGAGTACGTCCATATGAGCGAATCACCGTGCCTAGACTCCACGTACAAGTTCTACAAGGCTATGATTGCAGTGTTTGGCCCTGAGTACTTGAGAGAGCCAACTGCTAAAGATACAACCCATTTGTTGGCGATGAATGCCAGCAGGAGCTTCCGAGGGATGCTTGGCAGCATAGACTACATGCACTGGGAGTGGAAGAACTGCCCTTCTGCTTAGCAAGGGTAGTATAGAGGCCATGTCATGGCTTGCACTGTCATACTTGAGGTCTGTTGGGGAACGTAGTAATTTCAAAAAATTTCCTACGCACACGCAAGATCATGGTGATGCATAGCAACGAGAGGGGAGAGTGTTGTCCACGTACCCTTGTAGACCGTAAGAGGAAGCGTTAGCACAACACGGTTGATGTAGTCGTACGTCTTCACGATCTGACCGATCAAGTACCGAACATACGGCACCTCCGAGTTCAACACACGTTCAGCCCGATGACGTCCCTCGAACTCCGATCCAGCCGAGTGTTGAGGGAGAGTTTCGTCAGCACGACGGCGTGGTGACGATGATGATGTTCTACCGACGCTAGGCTTCGCCTAAGCACCGCTATAGTATTATTGAGGTGGACTATGGTGGAGGGGGGCACCGCACAC